CCCCCCCCCCCCCCCCCCCTTCTAGCATGTGGGAAGCCTTTAGGGGGATCGGGACCCCCCCCCCCCATAGGCCTAGCATGTGGTGAAGGTGCTGGGGGGGGGTCGGACCCCCCCCCTAGCATGTGGTGAAGGTGCTGCTGCTGGGGGGGGTCGGACCCCCCCCCCTAGCATGTGGTGTGGAGAGGCTGTCATCGAGTCGGTGAGCCGGAGGGAGGCGTCCCTCGAGACGGTCCTGGGCGCCGGACGTGTCGAGACGGCGCTCAAGTGCCTCCAAGGGGGGTGCAGTACCACAGGCGACAAGTACATCTGTGGACGCTGCGGCTCCTACGGGCTCCACCGCGAGTGCGCGGGCTTGTCGAAATACCAGGTCGAGCCGGGACAGCTCGTCTGTGCCGTGTGCAGGGCCGAAGCCATGACGCCGGACGGCCACTCACCCACCGACCTCGTCCTCCGACGCGCCGCTCGGACGATGCTCGCCGAGCTGGGCACCAAGGCGTCCTCCACGTCGAAGAACCACGCGGAGTTCACCCGTCTCGAGGAGGTGTGGGCTACGAGTATGGGCGGCGGCGTCGTACTGCCCCGCTACCGTGTCGAGTCGATGCTCGAGTTCATCAACTGGCTCGCGATGGACTCCGGCCGCGCTCGCTCGTTCGAGACGATCCTGAGGGCGGCGGGCGGAGTCATCGCCAAGACCACCGCCAACGGCATAATGTCCGACCCCCGGGTGAAGGCGCTCCGCGCGAGGATGATCAGCCTGATCGGCGAGCTCGCGCAGCCGTGCACGCACACCACGCGCAAGCTCGCTCGACTCGTTCTCGACGAGACGCTCAAGACGTGCTGCACCGGCGCCAAGGCGGAGGCAGTCTACTCGAGTCATCGCGTCATGTTCCTCCTTGAGGTGATGATGGGGTTGCGGCTCGGCGAGACGACGGGCCGCCAGCACGGCGTCGCCGCCTGCGACGTGTGGATCGTCAACCCGCTCTCAGAGCGATGTGCCGAGATGGGGACGACTGTTGCCGCCCACCTCGAGTCCACGAAGACGGCCCAGGGGAAGGGCCGGTGGGCTCACTGTGTGGGCACGTCACTCACCTCTGAGTTCAGCCTCGAGTCTGCCGTGCGGGATCTGTGGCGTGTGCAGGGGCACTCGACCGAGACGGTCACGGTGGACGGCTTCAAGGTGGAGCGGCCGGACTACTCTGTCGTGCAGCTGCGTGTCGGGGCGAGCCTGCCAGACGGCGCTTTCGACACCTTCGTCGGGGCCCTCGGCCGGCTGCCGAGTGACCACCCGCTCCGGCCAGCGGCCAAATACCTTGGCCGCACAGCGACTCAGAAGAGGAAGGCGGCGACCATCGAGGAGGGCGATCGGTACGTCAACCTCGTTGGGGGAGCCAAGGGTTCTGCCAGACTCCGCGCCGCCAGCGAGTGGTTGGCGGGACTGGGGCTCACCCAGTACGCCGCCGTCGTCAAAGGCCCGCTCATCCGGGCGACAGACGGCGGGCGCCTCACCGATACTCCGCTAGAGACTGGCTCGTCATATAGCCATTCTACGAAAGCGCTCAAGCTCGCGTACGAGCTCCTCCGCGAGCGCGACGAGGAGGACCTCGAGCTTGCGATTGAGGAGGACGAGGCGGGCAACCCAATTGTCAAGTTTGCCCACCATTCGAACCGACGGTTCTCGGACAAGGTGGCGCGGGACACGAGCGATGTCACGGGCGCTACCATCACAGACATCGACTGCATCTTCGGCTGGAACGAGCAGGAGCGAGAGAGGTCGATGCAGCAGCACTACGCCGGCCTCGATCTCGCCTCGCGCATCGAGCGGCTCGCGCGAGTGACTATGATGGTGTAGTGGCTGAGGGGCTGGGGCAGAGCTCGAGATCATGTTCTACGATGGATGGCGATGGGGGTTGGTCCTGCAACGGTGTCTCGTGCGGAGCAGTGGTGTGCTGCCGCGCGAGGGTTGCAGGCGTGAGGGTCGAGGGTACCTTTTCCCCCCTTTGCTATTAACAATGCTTTGGAATCTATGAACATGACCTCGAGTGGAGCCCCAGTCCTCGACAGGCTCGCGCACCTGGTGTCCGCACTGCCGCATGGTGCGAGCCGCCACTCATGAGAAGGTCTCCGCTGCGCGATGCTTTTGCTGTCTGCGTCAATGCAGCATCCCATCGAGCGCGTCACTATATGACCTGACCCCTCTGATAACCGACGTCGCCAACGGCAAGCCTGCGTCCGTGTTGCATATGCTCTCCATTCATGTTCGCATTGCGGTGGATTGCCAATTCGAGCCACTTGAGCAATCATGCACAATCAATGCGCCGAAGAGCTGAGACGCAGATTCTTTGCACCGGGTCAGCAGGCAGGCAGTGCAAGGTCCAAGTGGTCGCGGCACTGGTCATTCGCGATGCGGTAGGCGATGCGATCAGCCGTCAGCAAGCGGCGGTGAAGCCTGGTCCATGGCCGGGCAGGCGCGCCGCAGGCGAAGCGCTCTCGCGGGGCCTTGCGTCGTCCCACCTCGAGCCCTCGCGGGCCCACGGTCGTACGTTTACCTCCCCTCACGTGGGCTCCGTTTACCTCTACCTCCGGCGGTCTGAGACAGGTTTACCTTTACCTGAGGCCCCACACGCCAGCCCTACCGCTCTACCTGCGCACCCGGCCCTCCGGGCCGAAACACGGGGTCCCAGGGTGGCCAGGGAAGGCAAGCAAGCAAAAAAAAACCTTATCGCGCGCGATAGACGCCGACTCGCAGCCTCTTCTTGAGAAGAAAATACACCAGGGCGCTGCACGCTGGTCTATGAGAGGTGAGGTGTCGAGAGGTGCGAGGCTGCGAGCCCTGGAGGCCCTGGGGATGGGGGGAGACGACCCGCGGCCGGCCTTGAAGGCCCGCGCACACAAAAACAGTCAGAAAAAAACAAACAAAGGGACAGACAGCAGAAAAGAAAGAAAGAAGACAGAGACAAACCCAATCGAGGGATGGGGGAGGAGGACAGGGTCCACACCTGCACGAACGAGCAGGATTTTGGAAGGACGATCAGGGGCACAGGTGGGGCTCTCCTGCTCCTGACAAGGGACACGACAGGCTCGCAGCGCGGTGCACGGTGGACTCCCAACTCCACTGGCGGTCTCATCTCAGTTTAGCGACCTGCCTCCAGCTTCTCACTGGCAGTCTCTCGCAACCACAGCGCACAGGCACACTGACACAGGGGTGGGCAGGGGCGGCGGCAGGAGTCTCCCACAAACTATGCGGGCCTCGCTAGAGGTGCGTCCTGTGTGTGTCCTCGCCCTTGAGGGTCTTGAGGGGGAAGGGGAAGGGGCTGTCTGTTTGTCTGTGCATACATGCACATGTACATGTGCATGTGCATGTGTGTGTGTGTGTGTGTGTAAAAAGAAAGAAAGAAAACAGAGAACCCAAGGGAGGGATGGGAGGACGGCACGCCGCCACCACACAGGGATGTTAAGGAGGTGTGTGTGTGTGTGTGTGTCTTGCCGCGTGTTTCTCGTTCCTGCCTGGCGGGCCAAGGGACGCCTGTCGACGGCTTCCCCGCTCTTCAAATCCAAGCGCCGACCCCGATGAACATCTTCGCCGCCAACAAGGAGAAGGGGAAGACGTTTCGGCCGCGGCGCAACCACCGCGAGGGCACGAAGCGGTACCAGCTGCACAAGTTTGCGCAGGTGTGTTCGCGGCCCGACGGGACTGCGGCTTGTGTTTTGTGTGTGTGTGTGCCGTGGCTGCAGGGAGGGTAACGCTCACCGGGTCGGCGCCGCGGCTCGCAGGCCACGCTCGGCACGGGCAACCTTCACGAGGCTGTGACGCTGCCTGCCGGTGGGGGACGGCACAGCCGCACGGCGCGAGCGCGGATTTTCGAGTGACGCCGGCGGATTGGACGGTGTAGGCGAGGACCCGAACGAGTGGCTCGCTGTCAACACGGTGGACTTCTTCAACGAGATCAACCTCCTCTACGGCGTGGTGACTGCCGCCCCTCCCCCCTCCCCCCTCGACCCTCGACCCTCGCCCCCGCGGCCCAACACTGCCCGAGCCGACCCTCCGCCGACCTGCAGGTGGCCGAGTTCTGCACAGAGAGCACGTGCCCCGTGATGTGCGCCGGCTCGAAGTACGAGTACATGTGGGCTGACGGTCTGCGCCTCCCCTCCCCCCCCCCAAAGTGAATTTCTGAATTGT